CTAATTTATGCAATACTTTCCTCTATTACATAAAGGGCCCGTTCAATATTAATTGTCATCAGGTTTTAGAAAGACCCTATGTTTCAGTTTTCACACGATGGACTTTTAGTTTGTTTCGTTTGAACATGACCCTCAATTTCACTATTTTATGAAAACATATTTACCTAACACGACATCTGTATACGACAGCAGATGGATGGATCAGAGACACTGCAATAATATGGGCAAGCACTCGTTGATCGATAGCGACAATGTCCGCTCAGAGGGTTCCGACTGGTTCTCCGAGTCTGTGTTGCCATCACAACCGCCCAAGGATGTCACTCTCATTATTAACTTCTTCTGTCCCAAAGGTTTTATCCGTTTCAAGTTTATGTTAGGGAACGTCGTGCATTATTTTTCAACTATAATGCTGCTGCAATTAACTAGCACTATCATACACATCCATTTTCATAATAATGCACACGTTTCGTGCGGTATGGGATGTCCAGTCTTATTATTTGGTTTAGTATTTGATACCATCATTATAAAAAGGAATACATTATAAAACAGCTATAGATAACACTCAATAGAAGTTAGTTCACTATACAAGGAACCAGCTGTATCACGGAAACCCTCTAGTTGCTGATGACTAGATTCTTTGATTTAAACACTGGTGGATATAATATTGTTATGATACTGACGTCCAATACCCAGTTGGACAATAACATTATATACCATCGAAGGCGCAGGCAAAACCACTCTCATTGAATAGTCATGTCTTACCATTTGTTAAAATATATGTTATATAATAGATTGTATCAATTTTCTTAAAGAATATGTTCAATATGTTTCACAGATCTACTTACCACACTGACCTTTTGGGGAAGACCTGGCATCGTCACTATTTGAGTGTGATTCGTGAGCACATGCTAAAGATAGTGGAAATCATACTGTCGACTTGGCATTTGTGGATGTGGTGAGGGTTTTGTCACATATATTTAAAAGATGGATCAATGTTTTCGAGGTGGACTCACAACAGCATTTCCGTTGTCCATATATACACTAAACGCCAAAAGAAACGTTACCCTCCTTCCTTAATGACGGAGGTACCTATCTTCACCTGGCGTTGTGATGCGTGGACGTCCACTTCTTGGTCTGTCTACGATGACCGCAGTCTGCCTGAAGCCCTGAATAAGTTTTATAACCGTGACACGGTGGTGCCCGAGGGCGTTGGTAACAACAGTGTACCTCGACCCCATTTGCACCATCCCAATGGCCCTTTCTTTCTCTTCAGCTGTTAATCATGTAGTCTCCTCTCTCTTCATACCCTATACATAATCCTTCTACATATGAAATGGATGCAAATACTTCTTTTTTTGCAAGCAAGATGTTAACAAAGATAATTTTAAAAGTTCCTAAACCTTTTTTCACAATATCAAAGACACGTTTTAAATGTTTTCACTAATGCAAATCAGCAGAACAGATTGAAATCGTACGAGTGATTATTTTACAATTTTACACACTGTAAAAAGTTGTTTCTTGCTTTAATAGTTGAAAAATGGTGACTTTAAATGGTTTATCTTTGTCCCAAAACAGAATGTTATTTCAACCTTTCTTTTGGACGTTTGAATCATCGTTATTGGTTTATGTCGGCATGGACGAAAATAGGACAATTTAACTCGTCTGAAAAAAATGCATTTCACCTAAATATGAATGCATTTGAGAAGATTTTTTCGTGATTTGCATAAAGCTGTGCTGTGAGCTTTCTTGTTAACTAATACGTTCTAAAATATCTTTGATAGTTTCTCAGTTATTCATAAAGGTAGGAGGGTAACATTTCTTTTGGCGTTTAGTGTATTTAAGAATGTTTCTTAACAGTAGTAATGGAAAGTAGCAGTACCTTCAGCAGTTCAGTGAGCTTGCGCCAAGGCGGCATGCAGTTCACGAATGGAAAATACTTAATTTATTTATAATCCTCATCATTATCAGAATCAAAATGAGTTCTCTTTCTTCTTGCTGTTCTTTTATGTTAGGAAATTGTTACGTGTACTGTCTGATGTAATTGTGTGTCTCCTTCGTTAAGATTGAAAACACTCGATTAATAACCTTTTCTTCTACCCTTAGCACAATATTCCAAACTTAAAGACATGAGTGGTCGTAAGTGTACTTCAGAAACCTAGTTTTGTCCAAATTGGCTTGTTCTGTTTAAATGTACCACTGAAGTGTTGAATAAGACGGATAAATGTAGTGAGCATGGAGTAAAAGAAAAATGAAAGGTTAGTATTACTTCAATAGCTTGGAGATTAATTTTTGTGTAATAAAATACTGATGTAAATCGAAGATACGTTATGCATACAGTATTCTGATAGTTCTAAATCCTTTAGAAATAGCTTGAGTGCATCTTATCATTTCAATGTCCTCTATAGTTCTCTAACAAGTAATATACATTCAGTTTGGTGGATTTCAACAAGCTGTATGACTCCCAAACAGATTTTGTCATACACATCCATGTCCTCAAGTGATCCGAACATATTAAATAAATTGATATGATTTTCTGATCCTTTATGGCTTTTGGATTCTGGCAAGGTTTAGTTCTGTTGGGTTTTTTTCAAAATTGTTTGAAGTGTGTTTGAGATTGGGGTGTTGAAATTGACTGAAATCATAATTATGGTGCTATTCATACAATGGTTCTGAGTGATTTTGGGTCGAAAGGGAAAAGGTGGAAATGTCGGTGCTCACCCACGTCAAATCTGTTCGGCAACTTTATTGACGAAGTATTGATTGTTGAAGTTGGTCTTTTTGTAAATAGCGATCCTGTTGCTTCCAATTCTTTGGTTTGGACGATTATTGCAGAATCCCCCAAAACGGATTTTGGTTGTTTGTTTTTTTGTGGAGAAAACAATTTTATTTTTTTCCGTATGATTGTCAATATTAGTTTCCTCATAAACTTCTGTTACTGTTACATGTTACAGACATAGCTCTATTTTGGCATTAGAAACCCCTATCAGGATTGGGGTGTATGCATCAACGAAGTATGTGTTTCATGGTTGACAAAGAACGCATCCCCGTCCTTCAAGATGAAAGAATGGGTAAACTGTGAATGCCCTATACTGCACATTCTTAAAACAACAACAACAAAAACAACAACAACAACAACATCACGATGCCTATTCTCGAAAGTTTCCCAGCTAAGACATATCCTAACTAGTTAGGACAGGAGTTAGGGCATCCTACCGTAAGGATAAGACCCATTCTCGAAACGATCCTATCCCTGTCCTAACATGAGCTACCGACCTAGCTAGGATAGTGAGCTCTTCAGTAGGTCAGATAGAAAAACATTCATTAAGTTAGGGATTCACCTAAATATTACCCATGATTCATTGCATAAAATAAACACATATATAAGGGCAACTACAATCTCGTTTCAAGATAAATGGTAAAACTAGAAATCGAAGTAAAAGCTTGAAAGCGGTGAAATTCAGCTTTTAGTGGGCTTAGTAGATCTAGAAGAAATTTTAATTAATTATAGTTATAATTAAAATTCACATCTTGTATCAAGAAAAATAGAGTGAATTAAGTACTTGAATAGATTTAAAATATTTAATGAGATTTGAGATTTTTTAATATCCGTTTGTTCGAAGTACCATACTTCCAGAAAAAAAAGTATTGCTATATGTTAATATATGTGATATTTTCATCACATTATAGTAGTTTTGAAGTTTTTGAAAATTCATTCACTTGACAAGGGGATAACATTTTTACTTCAGAGTTTGAAAGTCTGCCAAAAAAGCAATAAGATATGTGCAAAAATTATTTTCATTTTATTTGTTTGTTTTTTGGGTGAAAATCATGACTTGATCTCTCATTATGCGTCATCACACAAACTAAAATTCACCTAGAAATAAACAGGAGTTACTCCCCTACCAAGTTGGCCTTGACATTGACATTTCACGGCAATGTGACAGAAAAGAGCAATGTTTTGCTCAAAAAGGCCGAGAATAGGTAAGAATTGAACAAATCTCTTTTGTAGATCTAAACAATATGTGCATTGCAACAAGTGTGTATATTCATTACCGATAAATTGATAATATAAACACAAAAAACTCATGCAAACTGTGTGCTGTTTTAAATTCAAATGTAATTTAGGCGAGTTATTTAGTTTGACAACGTCAAAATTGGTGAACAAACAAGAACCACACCATGTTGACTTCCACTAAGATAGACTTAGGACAGGTCAGAACCTATCCTAGAATGTGTCCTAAGTTAGGATATCCTTGCGCTAAGATTCTTATCGAGAATAAGGTAGGACACCTATCCTAGACCCTAGGATCAAAGTTAGGATATCCGAGCGCTAGGATCGTTTCGAGAATAGGGGCCCTGTTCAACAGTTGGCACTGATATTGTTATCACTTATGATCGGTTAAATATCATACACCTTGTTGATGGTTTGTTTGCCAGCAATGATTAACCTACTGCCTTACAACTGGCTTACAATCAATGTAAGGGATCTTAGTGCGTGTTATTGTTTGTCTAGAGCTGCTTGTACTTATGCATCAGCTCTACCCTTATCATTTATTCCAATGTGGTTTGGAAGCCAACAGGTAATATCCTTATCAGCTAATGACATTTTACAGGCGCCGATCTGAAATCTCGCCTAGAATAAAACGAAACAAAATATACAAAAACAGTTGGTCAGACTTCCGATCATTTATCGCTACAAGCATGGCAAACTATCAGAAAATATACTACATGGGTTGTTCCCGGAATATTTAATACACTGTAAAGCTAAACAAAATAGCACTAGTAAAAATGGAACTTCAGTCGGTAAGACTAAGTAGCTGCATGGTACGTCCTCCTCCTTCATTATCTTATCGAACATGATAATGGTGCATGGAAATATGTTCTGATAAATGCAAAGTGGGATAATAGCTACACGAGTTTTAAATAGAGTAATGAAGGAAGAACAAGCCATCTGTCTGAGGGCATAATATATGTAATAATGTATGTAATACGTGGCTCACCCCCGCGCTTGGCGTATGCTCTGGCACCGTGGTTTGCGACTCCAGATGACGAAACAGATGACGAGTAGGTGTAGCACTGACCACCATGGAGCACGATGGCGACACACAGCTCGTCCTGTGAACAAACTGATCCACATTCCAGGAAACTTTGAGTCTGTCTGAAACTGGATGGGGTCTCTGCAGTTTGCAGGTTATCCAGAGAAGTTATTCTGTCATATAGATGGTACCGAACCTTTGTCGTCTTTACAATCAGAACTGGAGTAAATGACAGGAAAATAAGAGCTAATTTCATCATGTCATGTGTTGGAAAATAGGCTTCAGCAAATGTGCATGGATATGATTACACAAGAGCAGTTGCAGACTGCGCAGTTTGTACATGAAACAAGTGACGTCGATCAATAAAGACACATCAATTATACAAGCTTTCTGCCAACAACTTTATGAGAATACCAAGGGATACTTTTGTGAATCATTGTTCATGTGTAGTTAGAATGGATTCTGTTAAGTTGGGCAGCCTTGTAGCCTAAAACGTTAGTTTGTCACGCTTGGTACAATGCATGAAGCCAGTATGATTATTTGTAATTATTTGTATGTGTATATTTGTGTATATTGTGTACACGTATATTTGCATGAACTTTATAAATTATGTTTGTTATAATAGGTTTTATCTTCTTGTTTCTTTGAATGTGGACAGGTCTAGATGACAGGTCCAGATGAAGGTTTATGAACATCATATTATGTGTATTTCTAAAACAATACTTCTGTAAATATTGAAGCATAAGCACATTTATTTTTCAAACAATTGGTTTTAAAGCAATTTATGAAATCTCCTTATGAATATGTCTTTACATAACTGCTATACAGTTCCCTCTGCCTGGAATAAAGGAACATGTCCCACCGGTCCATAATGAATTATTCAGAGTGCGTTTAGCATAATGTTGGTTTGAAAACTATTTTGAAAGTTATTTTGCGGTGTTTCAGTTTGATGTAGGGTGATTTGGGTCTTTGACGACCATGGGTACGATGCTGATCTATAAATCCATTGGTACGACGCTGATCAGAAACACGCAAAAAATGTGGCGGCTAAAACACCTGGGATTCCAGAGGCCTCGAAAGTGATCTAAATTCACCGGGGAATAACGTAGGTTAACTCAACATGTCTGCTTAACTCAGTGATGTCATCAGGAGTATCAATAACTATGTGGGTATTGTGAGTATAAGATGTTTTCAAATGCAGTGCACAGCTCGTTAGCACACCTATAGATAACAGACCCTCATGATATGTGTGCAGTACTGATATGGGTACATGCTTCTTTTACCTTATGAAAACAGTTTGCCAAGAATGCCACTCTTAAATTCCGAATATTTGTATGAACCTTTCCACTTACACTTAGTAGAGATATACTTCGAAATGCTCTTGAAATAGAATATTATATAATATTTTTTAAAGATAAGGCAGTAACATGACTTCTTTGAGTGTCATTTTAGAAGTTGGGAAGTACAATATAGAACAAACTTTATGGATAACAACTTCTTTTTATTCGTGAGTGCGACGTTTCGATACAGATTCCTGTACCGTTGTCAAGCATAATGGAACATAAAAAGGGGGAAGTGTATATATAGTGGATGTAACAATGTAACAAAGAAAACAACATAATTAACATAATTGGCTAGGCAGAAAGAAAGACCTCTGTTCCGACAGCAAATCAGCCATTTCCAACCACATCAAAGCAAGCCCCAATCATCAAATAGAGTGGTCTGACATCACCATTCTCTCTAACAAACAAACAGACTTCACTAAACGCAAGCTCACCGAAGCCATCCCATCAAACGCCAAAAGCCCACCATCAGCCGAGACCAAGGATACTTCATTTCCATCCGCTTATGATGCACTCATCCACCAAGCCCAATCTACTGTATAAAGCTCTGCTGTATAAACATCTCATTATTATTTGTACATCATTGGCTTCAACGCCTGTCCTTTGCCTACTCTCTGGCTTCATCAACTTTTTGCCTAGCCAATTATGTTAATTATGTTGTTTTCTTTGTTACATTGTTACATCCAGTATATATACACTTCCCCCTTATTTATGTTCCATTATGCTTGACAACGGTACAAGAATCTGTATCTAAAACGTCGCACTCACGAATAAAAAGAAGTTGTTATCCATAAAGTTTGTTCTATATAAAAACATGACTTGACATTTTAAATTTTCACTTATGTTGTCATGAATGCCCTGGGCATTATTTGTTTTAAGGTTGTCAATTCCAGCTAAAGGACACCTCTACTGATTGGAGCATTGAATAGATCACCTGCAGCATACTGAGAAGAACTTTCATCAAATTCTCCATAATCAGATTCCCAATCTGGAATATCAAGCTGATAAAGGATAGCTTCATCATTTCATTTGGCAAACAGATTTGTTAATAGTCAAATGAAGTTCGATTTTCTTCAGAATACGGTTGTGACAAAGATTTGAATTTATGCCAAAATAGCCTGGAGTCATCTAATGCCTCATTCAAATCTCGTATTTGCTTTTGTTCCAAGTTGCGTTTGGCCTTTGCACAAGCTGATTTATACACTTTCTTGGCTGTCATATAAGGATCTGGTGATGCTTTGTCTTTCTGCTTGCATAGCCTATTTAAGAGTCTTTGCTCTTTGAACGACTGACAGGTATCATCAAAACCATCTTGTGACTGATAATGTGTTGTAACAACATGCTTCATTCGTTCAGCTAACCTCAACGAGATTTCTGCAAACATCTTCACTCCCCTGTCAATATCGACATTTACAACTTCATTAAATTCATCTTCAGTCTAGAAAAGGTTAACATAAATATTTTCATCTTTATTGCTCCTTGACGTAGAGACTGTCAACAGGAAAAGTCCTAAACGATCCAAGACAAAGTCTTAGACCTTGGTGGTGGATATCGTCTAATACTTTAGGTTGCTTTTTCAAGATCAAGTTTGGAACGGACCAGTGGTCGATATAGGTGTAGGAAGGTAGCATGATCCCATCCCCACTTAGAACTGGAAACGACCTTTCAGGCATTTATTGTTTAGGTATTTGATATGCTGAAGAAAAGTTCAATAGGAGTCGTAAATTAGACCAAAGAACCTGGCCTCCTTGACAACTTTGATGCGAGTGCCATTTTAAATAGTTCTGGGTCCTTATGCGGCCTTTTTTTCTACAGAAGAGTATACACTTAGTTTTTGATTTATAATATTTAAAGCCATTTTCAAGACTCCATTTATACATTTTATTTAAACATAACTGCAGTTTCTGTTCAATAGTGTGTATAGTTTTACCGGGACAAGAAATGTTAAAATCATCTACAAAAAGTTGTCCATCGATTGAACCTATGATAAACATTGTGACAGGCATAATACTGCCTTGTGGGACACACTGATCCTGATGTTTTATTAAAGGTTGTCTCAAATTCGAAGTGGGGAGGGTATCAGAAAACTCTCTTCCAACTATACTGATTACTGATCCGTTGTAAACGTACTTTAAAATTATTGATCAACCCATCATCTAGGCCTAAAAGCTTTGTCTTGGGCCCTTCATAACTTCACTATTAATAGTCTTTATGTGGAAAGGTGATGAGCTATTGCTACAACAACGACACATAAACCTACCCTCACAGAAAGTCACACGGAAGTATTTTATTTGAGTGTCACAAGTAAAACAAGTTCATGAATATAAACATAATATAATAGTACTAAGATACATTTCACAGCCAGCCACTAATTGGCTTTATGAGACACCGTTAAGACATAGCACACATATACAACATACAAAATGGTAGATATATGATAAAAAGGGGGAAAATAGAAATAAAGGAAAAAATATAAAATGCATAAAGATCAATTAGATAAAAGACTGACGTATTAGAAGATCCTTTTTTTACAGTTGAAGCTATATTTTTTTAGTTTTGCGATATCAACAGCAGTAATCCCAGAGCGGGATAGAGATAACCATGTCATCAATTAAAACACCATTTTAATATCTTCTGCCAAGTCATTGATGCACAAGGCAAATACAGAGGAGATATTAAACATCTGGCTCACTGGTTACACCTACTATGTGTTTTCTACGTTTATCAAGTGGATTTTGTAAAGACAATGTGATTGATATAATATCAAGGCCATACAAGACCATAAACTTTCTTGCGGCCGAGCCTCATTTTGAGATTTACACGATTTCCGTTTGTTAGAGCACGCTGTACGACAGAGCAAGCTGCAATACGTGTTTGCAAAGGGGTAGAAGGAGCGTAGTGTTGCAATATACAAGTGATTAGATGTAACAGGTTATACTGATTTATATTTATATATCCAGTTGAATGTATTGGTCTCAAAATGTTGGACTGGCTATTGTTCTAAGTTGCACAATAGAACGGAACCAAGTCAGCAGGAAACGAGACTGTTATGTAATCAATATTTTGACTTGCTGTTACCAACACATAAAAATGGTTTAAAGTTACTCATATTGAAAACTGAGTCTTGAAGCCAATAAGATCAACATGACATCACACACAGTTTGCTGTAGTGTCATGTATATTAATGACGTCATACGCAAATAGGTCCGAGCACGCTGTCTTCATAACTTCATAACTAGGTATCAGTTTCTGTACAGTACTTCAAATCGTTATCACGCAAATATTTCTTTTTCAAAACTATTTTAAAACCTAGGCAGTGAAGGGTCGAACAGGATAGTGTCATGGAGAACTGCGATTTACGAAGTAATTTGCGGGTGCATGACATTTATCAGAAATGATTGCATGTACATAAATGTTATATTAATTGGTCAGGGGTATGGGCTGTGTACTGAACAAACTGAGTTTCGACGTACTGTATCGTGTACCCACTGCAGGAACTCTGTGAGAGCCAAGCTTAAAAGAGGTATTATGTATAACACAATTTCAACCTTTGACCTTCTTTGTCCCTTTGGAAGTTATTAGCAGTGAATAATAATAATAATAATATGGACATTTGTAGAAGCGCAGTATAGTAGTAACTCCCACCTCAAGGGCATGCTCTTTGCGCAACAGTAAATATGTACACTATATACAGGAAGAAGTTTTATAAGATTTAGTTATTGCTTGAACAAGAATGTTTTGAGTCTTGATTTAAAGATGGAGATGGAAGGAGATGACTTGACATGGAGAGTGTAGTGAGTTCAGAGGGAAGCTGAGTGAACGCTGAAAGATCTGCCGCCAAAAAGTTTGCAACTTGTATTTTGGGACACTGAGAAGACCTTTGTCTTGAGATCTGAGAGACCGCGCTGGAGTGTAGGGGTGTTAAAAGATCTTGCATGTAGGAGGGTGATGAACAGTTTAGTGCTGAATATACA